AAAAAAAAAAAAAAAAAAAGACATTTGACAAATTTTCTCTAAAGTTATTTTTAATGAATTACTAAAATATAATTAAGAGCATACAAAAGTATTAACTTTTATAATATAAAGTAAAAATCACTCTAGATTTCAATCAAAGATCTTTTGTATAAAATCTATTAATACTGCAATATTGTTTTTCTTATAAAAATGTAAATGAAATACACAGCAGATATATAATGTAAAATTATTCCTCAAAATATATTGTAATTGGTGATTTGAATATGTCAGATATTTTCAGAAAGTAGTACAGTACATTCCAGACAATTTTTAATTGTTTGAAGGTCACACGATTAAACTATTATTGTAACTAAAATTCAAAGGTTAGAATTTCTCAGTATTCAAACCATGTCTTGAAGATAAGTTACAGAAGAATTAGTCCACATTTCACAAATTCTGATCCAATACAGATACAGAAAAATTGTTCTTTTAACTAAGTGCCAAAATGCTTAAATCATCAAATTGCCACAGTATATTGCCCAATTGTTTCTGGAATAACTCTATATAAAATTTTGTTATAAAACTATCTGGAAAAATTAGAATAGAAGCAAAAGTATTTTATTCTTATTTCAAATGCTAAAAAACCAGTATTTTTGTATCAAATTCAACAACAAAACAGCATTTCTATTGGAAAGCAACAAATACTGATTATTATTGCATTAATTTGCAACTGTATTTACATGATATGAGATATCAGCATACTATAACCTATACAACCAACTTAATTTTGTTTATTATGGAGAGGACATAAGCTAGAACTGTCCATTGGTAAGAAACAAGACTTATGAGAATCAAAATTTTAAACCTGGATTAGCATAATAGAAAGAATGTTATTTTCAGTACTTGGCTGACAGAATTTTTATAAGACAACATGTAAACTAAATACTGTAACTTTTTACAGCATTTGGAATTCTGAGTAACCGTGGATGGTTATATCAAGAATTAAATGTGTCTGGAAGAGAAGAAGAATAATTCAGAGGTCTGGGTGGTGTAATTTGCAATGTGACCATACAGCATGTTGCTGTACTCCCGCTAACTAACATTTCAATGTTTCTTTTTGCCTTTAAAAAACTAAATTAAAAAGAAAAATTACTCATCTGCTGCAAAAAGTCTTAGAATACTGATATTTAAATTGGTATGCATTTCCTTAAAATATAAAAAGACAATACAAAAACTAAAAGATCATAATTTTAAATAAACTTAACTTATAACCAAATTTTAGGTTTATGAACTTTAGGTTAAAGTTTGGTTCTAGAAAACAAAGTTTCTGAAGCTTTTTACTTGGGAGAATCTTAAGAGCCATATACTGTAGTTTGTTTTTTAAAATGCTTTTCTATATCTTACAATTATATAATTTTCAAGTCAGCCGTGGCAAATTAAATTTAAGTTTTTGCCAATAGCATCATAATTTCAGAATACAAAATCATTTATTGTAATTATTTTTTCATTTAAAAACTAATCAATCTTTATATTTATTCAAATTACAAAATCTATGATTTAAAGTTTATAAATATTTTGAAATAAATTTCTTTGATGACCTAGCATTTATTTTTTTCATAATGAATTATTTTCTACATAAATTTCAAATTTTCATAAGAATATTGCCAATATTAATATGTAGATTTAAAGACTTTAGTAACAAAATATAAAAATAATCCTAAACTTAAATAAAATTTTTACACTGTAGATAGGAAACAACATTATCACAGCTTATAAATATTGATAAATAAAAATTTAACATAGCATGAGCATAACAGAATGTTGCCTATCATAGAATTGCAGTTGCCATGTTTTGTAATTTCCTATTAAAAAATGCTTTCTTATGTTTTTAATGTATAATATTTGGCACTGTATCTCCAAAATATATTCAACTTCAAGCTAATATTTTGCTCACTTCCATTATTCATTATTGCCTTTCAAAACTGGCTGACAGATGGCTACTGTCAAGTCTATGAAATTCAAGTGAATCAACAACAATTTTTATTAAGAGCAAAAACTGAAATTCAAATTGGCTTATGAATAATAAAGTATTAATTTATTAAACAGTCATTTTTAATTAAAAACATATTAGTAATATAAAAGTGCAACAGTGGTGTGAACCGTTAATAGTATACAGGTAACCCTCGTATAACACGGCACTTCTATAGCACGGATTCACTCTAATACGGTTCGGAAATTGGGTAAACCCTCGTACAACATGAAATGTAATAAAGGGCGTGTTCTTTTATACCTCCACACAAGTATTCTAATTGTTTTTGTGGCTTCTTTGAATGGTCTTTCAACAAATAATCCATTTAATGGCTAAATTTTACAATTGGAACCCTTCTTTTGCCTCTAAAAGCTCATTTTAGAATTATAGATTCCTCCATCACAATACTATCGATAGTGCGGGCACCGCCGTCTTTCTTTCACCGTCATTCCTAAATGACTAAAAACAGCAGCACACTCCCTTTGCAGAGCACCGCTATTAACGAACGCACCCAAAAACTGTTACCAGTTGATGATGCTCATGCTGAGATCATCATATAGGATGAATAATCCTCTGGTAAAATATTTACTTATAAATATTTTACTTATGAAAACAAATGAATTATAAATCTGATTTAAACAAGGATTTAACAGCATGTTTTTTATTTTTGGAACCTAACCACCCTTTTCGCACTAGTTCTTTGTTTCGTATAACACGGCAATTTTTTGGAATGTAACTCCTGTGTTATACAGGGGTTACCTGTACTTAATATATGAAATACAGCACTGTCTCCAATTACTAGCATTCTGATTAAGTATTCATGGAAAGAAAGTATAACAGCAAAATAAGAAAAACTAGAGTATATCAACATAAAAAACTGGGATTAGATCACTGTTGCACTCACCTTTCAATTTAAGATGAAAAGATGATATTTTTTATTTTTCTAAATTTCTTAATTAAGGTGAAATGATATCAAATTTAATTTAAAAATCATAATTAACTGAAGAACATTTTAAATATAATTAAAAAAACAAAAAGGCTTAAGCAAATTTATATAAATAAAATCACAAAAAAAATAAAAAATGGCAATTGCTGAATAAGAAAATTCAAAATATTTCTAAGATTGCACTGAAGTTATATATTTATTTATATTTCATTATTGTGATATGAATTATTCCAAATTCATGCTAGATTAAATTAATTCACTAATGAAGTATCAATTATTTTTTCAAAACGGGAAATTTTAATTCATTATTTGACGATTGCCAAAATTGTACAATTAGAAAAGGAAAATTAAGATTTCTTTTAATAGTATTTTTATTGCAAAATTCATACCTTGAAAGGGAAATATTTTATATCGTGCTGAACGGAGGGATCGGACCATTCTCGTCCAATCAATCTCTTAGCATCAAAAACCGTATTTTCCGGATTCGTAGTCAGTTGGTTTTTTGCCGCGTCACCGATGAGACGTTCGCCTTCGGGAGTAAAGGCAACGTACGAAGGAGTAATTCTGTTGCCTTGATCGTTTGCAATAATTTCAACTCTGCCATTCTTAAAAACTCCAACACTAAAAAGAGAACACATCCATATCGAACCGTTACGGCAGACTTCATCCCTAGAAAAAGAAAACCACTTACCAGGAATACGTAGTTCCCAAGTCAATTCCGATAACGGTGCCGATACTGTCCTTTTTCGAGTCCTCCTCCTTTTTGGCCGTGGCAAGGGCGCCGATAAACAGCGCAACTATTAAATATTTTGCAGCCTTTTTCATTGTAATTCTGAAAGAAAATAGATTTTTAAAAGGTTAATTTTCTTAAATGCGACGTTTTAAATTCAAAATTTGTTATATTTTCAAAGTATTATTTAAGCTAGTCCTTAGACATTTCCGACACTTATATAGGTATCTTCTTAAACAGTAGATCCTCGACGTAATGGTCTAATCGAGGAAGAGGTATCAGCCATTGCCAGAAGTCCATTAAATCGAATTTGTTAAAAAAAAAATAAACAAATAAACTCAACATATCCGAGGCGTTAAAAATGTCATTCATTATAACGAAGCGCAAATAAAATACTATATAAACCCACATCGAGAAATTTACAGCAATCAACTCACCGATTCAACCTTCGGGCACACACTATTCGTAAGCAAAAAAATACCTTAAATTTCCGTAGGTTAAATCAAGGATTTACCGTATATTTGAAACATACACCAATATTTAACCGTTAAACGTTTACGTGCGTTTCGACAAAGTTTTAATTAAAAACATGCAACGTAGCATATTGTAAATCAATAATAGACCGCTAAAGCAAATTTAATTCAAATTTTACATAATTTCATTAAAATTTCATACTTTATATCATATACCAAAAGTACAAGTTTCTCAAGTTTATTAATAGTCAGCAATATTGCTAATACTTTATTAAGCTCTAATGCAATTTCCATTCTCACTGTCATCAGAAATTGACTCTCGATCGTCACATAACCATTAAATTCAATTAAAATCTTAAATGTACACGTAAAGGGTAGAAGTTACTTTTAGGTAAATGATGTATATTCGTGTACAAGTGAAAAGTATCTAACATTTATCTAAAAGTAACTTCTACCGTAAAACCTGTAAATTTATTTAAATTTAGTAAAAAAAATTAATTTCTCATTAACAGAATTTAAAATATTCACACAAATGCCAGAATTAAAAGTGACGTATTTGAAAAAAATCAGCCAATCCGAAATACTGACTTTTCAAAAAAGTACTCAATTTCAGCAATGTGTGAATTATTTAAAGTAGACAAACACATTAATAAATCAAACGTAATTTAATGGCATCGATATCCAGTAAACTTAGGCTAGAACTATTTAAAATATATAAAATAAGTATCTTACCGAGAACAATCGCCTTTATACACAACAATTCTTACACTCGAACGAAATATATTAGTGAAATGCACGGAGTTGGCCTACCTTATAAAAGAACGTTAGAAGACCGTCGTGGAGATCCGCTATTGGTTGACGTGTAATATTTGGCTTCCTTCTATTGGTACACGTATATCACGTGCGGCCGGCCGTATTAGCGACACGTCACCGACGAAACGATTTAGTCGATTGGTTGTTGCATCAGAATGTTCTAGACGCCATCGAGTGCCACGTGTTATTCTCAATCAATGAGGACTTTGAATTACCTTTGACGTTAAAGTTGCATCAAACGTTAGCGTTTCCTTCGACTCGGCGGACATTTATCAACGAATAACACGTGCATCTGGCCTTTTTTCTCTCTCCTTCGATAAGAGAGATTCTTCTAAAATCGATATATTTTTTTTCACTCCGACAATAAATTATAATTATTTAGACTTACAAGAAACACCGGGTTTTGTTTTTTTTGCCATTGTATTTGGTATTAGTTTACGTTCCAATTTATACAAAAAGCGGAAACGATAGCTCGGAACTTGTTTCTTTTACGACCGTGAGTCAAACGAGTTTCTGGTGCGAGACACACCTCTAATCCAGCCAAGCAACAACGCACAAAGATCTAATTTACTCGACCTTATTATTATAGAATTCTATAATTAAACGAAATGGCTATTTTTAAATGCTCGGAATTAAGAACGCATTCGAATACGGGACTTGGAAAATGCTTCGTTTACGTCTGTAGGGGTGTAATTTTCGATAGGAAACACGGGATACGAACGAGTGAAACCAAACAGATTCTTGACCTCGTTAACGCTAATCGATTTGCGAAATTTAAAATTTCATAAATGCTTTGTTCTTCGACGAGATTATTTAAGTCATTTTTATTAATAAACTTGTTTAAAATCACTTTTATTTTAGTGCAGACAAAATCGATGACGTCCTTGGAACTTAGAATAAAATAGCAAAAGTTTGATTCCGATATACGGTACTTGGGATCAAATGTAAAGACAATTAACGTTGCATAATTCATACCGAAAAAAATATTTTTCTAAAAATTAAATAATAGCGATAAGCAGAAAAAACTTAAATATACGTATAAAAAGTATCTTCGGCTATGTTTGAAATATTTCTATCGTCTTATCCTACGTATACTCGATCTATTAATACGAGAATTGTCAAATGATCATGTTTTAATTAACAACAAGCGAAAAGTGCGGGCAAATTAAAGAAAATTGCAAAAATGAATTTCAATTCTTAAAATATCCAATTATATTATTATATAGATCATTTTTCGTATTTGTAGAACGAGGAATCAGACGAGAAAGATGTCGAATATAAAACTAATAGACGATGTTGGCATTCGATTTAATCAATGATTTATGCCTGAAGTAAGAACGGCAGACTTGGACAAGTTCGGAGTTGAACGACCTCTTACAACCGAAATGAAATTTTCTTTACTTCCACGATAATTTCTTTTGTAGAGATTACACTTAGACGTTTATTAAGATAATCATACGCTGCCAATTATCTTCCTTCTCGTCTTTTTATTTCTATATTCGTGTATTAAAAAATCAAAACAATCGTCTAATTTTAAATGGATACTAATGATTGAGTTACGTTGAAAATGGAACATTCTCATTCTCCCTCGGTTAAAAATGTCTTAATATATTTTAATAATTTAATGGAAATAAAAGAAAATGAAACTTATGATAGGAAAAATACTAGACAAAAAATCTGCTGATATTTATTATATTCTAGACTTTAGACTCTATAAAAAAATTATTAAAGTTTTCTAGAGAGAGAATCTTAATGTTAATAGGCCTATATACAATAATAATAAAAGTTTTAACTGATCTTATAGAAATGTTTAGCCAATTTTAATGATAATAATGAAAAGTTTTATATTTAAAATTAACAGTTAAAAAAATTTGATTAGTGTCTGAACACAACAATTTTAAAGTATGAGTAATTATAGCAAATAAATACTTTATATACATTTATTAAGTATATATATTCATCCGATGATAAGTATATCGGTTGAGAAAACCTTTATAACGAGTCCATTGTGAATTTGGCCAGACCCACAATGGGGTAGCGGTAGTGAGAGACCGTGTCCGACATATCCTGACAGACCACCTCCCGTAAAATTTCTCGGGTTTTTCGAACCGTCCGGATACGATCAGGGACCCCACAGTATAACAAACGAAGCGTGACTCGTTATTTTGTAATTTCACGCCAAAATTATTCGCGTAGTTTTAATAGTTTTAATTCTTACGGGAATAATTGAAGTTTAATGTTTTCGCTATATTATATTTTAGGTAAATAATCTTGCGGCAGACGACTGGAGATTCGGAACTGAATCGGGGCTAGCAAATTCCCAGATTTTTTATGGGAGGTCAGTTTCATTTTTCATACGACGAGCTTCGTCCCTATTTCGGCCTGGCCGATCCCGCGATAAAAGGCCCTCTTAGTGCCCATAGGGCGAAAACGGAGACTTTAGTGGAATAGAAAGATGACTTAACATAATGGTTGAGGACCATTGATATAAAGTAAAACTTTATATAATCAATCTTTAGAATTTATAAGCTTCTCAAATATGATAAAGTAATAATATACTTATACACGAATAAACTTCATATATACTGTAGTTTCTATAAGGCGTATTAATTTGCTGGAGAGTGTAATCTCACGCTATATAACATTACTTAATGGTTATAAGAAATAAATAAATGTAATATGTTTTATTATATACATAAAGTTTATTTTTGTATTCATATTATTATTTAACAATAAAAGCATTATGCAATTGCCGTTTTAAATTTAAAGATACTGTAAAAACAAATTGTACCATAAAATAATCTGTAATTTTAGAAATAATTGATAGAAGAATAATTGTGAAACCAGCAATTATTTATTGTGACACGTCACACGCCGGGCTGCAAGTTTTAATCATATTTTTAATTGATTTAATTAATTTAAAATGTTGTATACGCTCTCCACCTCAAATTAGTAGTCTTGCCCCTGTAAATCATACTTTTCCTGTGAGCAATAGAGTCGTGTCGGCCATCTATCTAACTCTTTTCAGGGGAAAAAGTATGAATTGAAATAACATTAAGTCAGGTGCAAACCGGAAGTTCGTATACAGTTAATCGGAGCCCGTAAGCTTTCCACGTATGGTCTCGACTTTCATCTATCTCTCTCCATTCTCGAGATCAAGGAAGGAGAGACGATGACAGTGGAAATTTTTTCAAATTGCGGGACAATTACAGTTGTGAAATAAATCGATATTAAAGTATTAATATTTTATCTTGAATATAAAATGACATTCGGGATGAAGTAAATGTCAGAAATTCACAAAAGTTTTATAAAGTCAAAAATAATAAAAACTGGGCGATTGTGTTTTCGCAAATGTAGCAAATGATATAATTTAAAAAACTATATTTTTTAAATATTTTATTCCGTAGTAATTCGTTAATGTAACTAATTTATTTGTGGACATTTCATTCACGTATGAACTGGGTGCCTACCAGCGGCTGAGTGGGCGCCCAATTCGAAACCACTAAACACTGGTAGTTGGTTGCGGGTTTGGCCACTTGGAGTTTTCCGGGTTTTCTTCACGTTAGTAAAACCTTACTAGGAGTCAGTTTCCACAAAAAGATACCCCGGGAGGCATTTCCCCTCGATAGATCGCCTGCGTGTGGCGTTGCCGGATACGAATAAACTAAATGAATTATTTCCATTCATACGTTTTAGTGCAGAAAAATGATATATTGTACTTAAATCAAACCGGTTCGCACGATTTGATTAATATCAAAGATCATTTTACAATTTCTCATCTGATAAAGGTCAAGAAAAATTATTTTTTTTCTTTCAGACGAGCATAAACGTTGACTTTTACTTTTCGGGCTCTGTTATATATAACAGAAGGAAAGTATGACGAACGGTCAAAAACTGACCCCCCAAGATTTTTACATTTTTGGACTCGGGGCAGTTTGAAACGTCGAGAAAAATCGGGGGTTTTTCTGTTTGTACGAATGTTTGTGAGGGCACGATTTTGTTCACTCTGTTTGAAACTTAATAACTCCTGTGCTTTCGTCGAAAATGTTTGAAATTTTGTACGGAGATTTGTTTATTAGAGGATTGATGCTATAAAATTTTTGTGATTAAAGATCGACGGGGTGGAGAGATAAAGGGATTCGTGTGTCGTATCTCGAGTAGGGTCGGACTTAATGACGATTTTACTCGTTATCAGCATTTACAATTTTTTTTTATAAAACCCATCCCTATCCTCAAAATTAAGCTTTTTGCCATTTTATAATACTGTAGTTAAAAATATAAAAGCTTTTAAAATGCAATATCGTAACAGATGGCGCCACCAAATGTCGCCGGAAAAGTTAAGCGACTCGTTGCTGGATTTTCTCTCATCGTTATCATTAATTACTGAAATTCCAAAAGCTATTCTTCGCATCACCATCGTTAAGTGTGCTAAGAAGCCAGTTACTCGAATATTATCGAGTGCTGCAATTACACTGCTTTTGCCGACGTTTTACACATTTCTATAGTCTATGAAATTTCCTGGTACTTAATGCTAGTTTACTGCTTGTTATGTTTGTTCGGACTTCCTCGCTGTTTTAGATCTCAAAGTAATCTTATCCTCGGGATTTTTATTTATACTTTCCAGCATAAAGTGTTTTTGACAAACGATTATTAATTAATGAAGCTTCGGAAGTCGCATTTTTATTTGTGACAGTATTGCGTTTATTTTCTTTAGTCGTTGATGGATACTTCTTTATAATCTGCCTAGGATGCGACTACTTGATTTACCAACCCGCCACCCCATTGCGGCCTAGCCTGACGTACGGCACGCTCGAAAAAAAGGCCTTGGCAGTAATAACTCCCCAAAAATTGCCGGGATTTCTCAGATTCGATCCCGGATCCCCAAGTGGTAGGCCGATGCTTTAACCGTGTCAAAATTCTCATTCTCTGCCGTCGATTATTTTTTATTTCGAAACGAAAATGCTCAAAACATTAACAATTCCATAAATAAACGACTTTTGTTCGCTCGATAAAACGAAACAAATTTGTTCAACAATCAATCACACATATTTCTATTATTCTAAAGC